AACCAATCTAGATCTGCAATTGATACTCCCTCGAGAACTAGGAGAGTTTGCCAAGGAACCAGGTGATCTTGATAAGCTAAATCGTCTGGTTCCCACCATTTCATTTTTTTATTAATTTTTTTTTATTTTTTAATTATTTCAAATATAGGATTTTATTTAAATTTTTTGTTCCAATTATCATATTAAAGAATGGCCCGACCTGGCTTGAATTTGCAATCCGGATCACTCTAACAGGTGATTGACCCACCCAATCCGGGTTTTAAAAAACTGATGAAGAATAAACAGTCCTATAATACAAATCACCATAAAACTTACCTGATAAGACAACGAGGTCCTTTTCTGTGAGTTTTTTGTTTGCAAAGTTTTGGCGAAGAACAGTTAAGTTTGAGGCTGGTGAAGGTATATTTGGACCCACTTCAGATGCTAGGGATACATTCCCATCCCTCCTTCCCGTCAAAACTTCCCACAGTGACTGCTTATACTGCATTTGCAATTCACACGACTCTGTGATCCAGTTATCCATTGAAGAAAAACAAATAAAGATAAAATGCAACATACACACACAATGTGTGCGCTATGTGATACACTAGTGGTCAGTCCACCACCAATTCTAGTGATGGATGGTGGAGATGAATCGCAGGTGTAGTGGGTGGGTTGTGAATTGCATTAGATCATGCATCTCATGTGCATGAACCTTGCTGTCCCATCATGTTTTGATTGGATAATTTTAAGGTGAAGACTACTCACTGTTATTACAATATATATCATGTTAGAGCTTGTTATATAGGCATGACCTATTTTCTAGTGATGCCTCGGCTGATCTCCACCGTTCATCTTGAAGATAGATGATGGACAAGCTTTCTAGGTATTTCATATGCTTATGCGTAGTGTATCCCCTATAAACATGTGTATCATACTCAAGGACAATAGTGATGTAGGGCAGTGTTTTGTTTAGATCGGTTCCGGATCCACTTAGATCTAGATCCAAAAAGTATACATAGTAACTAGATCTAGATTTGATTGAATCCATAATGTTTGGATCCGGATTCAATTAGTTCTAGCTTTGGTGTTAAACTATATACATTATATGAATAAATTAATAAATACATGACATATATGTATTTATATAACATAATATATTATTTTAATATTTGGGTCAAATCTAGATCGGATCCACCTGTACATAGATTTGATCTAAATTGCTATTCAAATCCAAATTTTAAATCCAAACCCGGTAAATTCTCAGCCCTACGGAGATGAACCACAAGTATGTTGTTAGAAAACAACCAAGATTCATTTGAAGTTCTGCTCTACTGTCCATCGTATGGATGCTATGGCTGGTGCACAATTGTGGATTGTACATGATGCATGTGTACCTGGAAGGAGACTGCATCACGGGCGGCCAGAGCGAGAATGTCGGCGCATGAGACTGTATTCAAGCATTGGGACTCGATGAGGGCCTTGAGTCGGTCCAAGATGTCAAACCCGGTCAGGCTTTGGTTGGGAACCGCGTCCTTCTCTGCTGTGCTATTGCTCGTCGAGTTCAACAAGATGGAGGCATCGCATCCCTGCAATAATTCGATGTTAGACGGCATCTTAAAAAAGGGTGCGGTTTGTATAGAGCCGAGGCTCTAAATAATCAAAGTAAAACGCACCTTCAAATAGTATCGAGAAATGTGGTTTCAATATTTGATCTTTGTGATAGCCTTAAAATATATTTTTATCTTTAATAATAAAATTTAAAGTTTAAAAAATAATATAGATCGAGTAGATCAATGACAGTTTGAAAATCTTGAAAATTACGGTCCAAAAATATATTACAAGATGCACTATTTGCAAACTTGAAATCCATTTTATTCTCATGTCCATGCATATTGATGTTGAAATGCTCAAATTGAGGATATTTGGGCATCAAAACGATATCTTCTAGTGAAATTTTTGAGGTCGGCTCTAATTTGATTGTTTAGAGCCTCAGCTCTATATAAGCCGCTCTTTTAAAAAATGGGTGCAAGTTACTTAAATTTTGGCAGCAACCAAAAAAAAGAAGAAAAAAAGAAAAAAAGAAAGAAAGAAAGATATACAATGAGATTTTTACTTTTGGTACAAGGTGGTCATGATTAATTTTGATCATTGGATGTGAAATTGGGTGGCTACATTTATTCCATTGACCAGGCTAAAAGTTCAAAAGAAATTTTCACAAACTTTAAGACATACCTAAGCTATCAGATTTCAAATTAGATGGTCCTTGTACCAAAGGTAAATGGTCTCATGGTATATAATCAAATTACTTTAAATTTGACATTGTGTTAAGTTTGAAATTCATGGGCCTCTATTATCCACTTCTCTATGTCTCTAGATTTTCTTTCCCTCATTTTCTTTGGAAGCCTTTTCTAAATTAACTTCAAGTACAAATAATAAGTTAGTAGGAGTTGTGTCACAAAGATAAAAGCATTTTTTTTGAGAATGTGAGCCCCGTTAAATACTTTTAGCCTTTTCAATTTACATCCAACAACTAGGATTGATTACAATCATAACGATTCGGAAGGAGGAATTAGTGAAATTATCCCAAATAGTATAACTTTAGTGATGGGTAGGAATTGGTAGAATACTTGAAACATATGCGATTATGTGTATAAGGAAAGTGTAATAAGTATATAAATTACTCAACAACTCGTAAACCCTTTTGAAATAGGAAAATTTTCTAGGAATGTGGAATAGACCCAACATCCACCATCCACTTTTTATCTAAAGGTGGTGGCTGATGGTTTTTTGTTACAAAGCGTTATATTTGGCATAAGCATGGTATTCATGTATGGGTGGGCTTGGCAATAAATATTTTTTACATATAATTTGATTTTAATTTTTAGAGAATGATCAGAAAAAATAAAAAAAATGTAAAAATCAGAAATAATATTTACATTAAAAAATATTTAGACCGTTGGTTACAATTGTTTTTAAAACAACCACCTATTTGCATCCATCTTTTATACCTCCATATTGTACAAATGCAATCCGGCCTGCATGAAACAATATTTCTCCATGTATTATTACCCCAAAGCCACCTTCCATGCATTCATGGGTGTTTTCTTGCTAAAATCCAGCGGTTATAGAAGTGGGGTATACCTCATCACCTAGAGTAGGATAAAATGAAAATTTACCTTTGGATCTGAAACATGAATTTCGGACCCTATCTGGATATGGGTTGAAATCCAACGCGTCGGATCCAGATCCAAAATTTTGATCCAAAAAATAATTTGGATCAGATTTGGGTACAATTGGATCTGATCCGGATCCGACCCAATTATTAAAAGGGTGTGAATCCCATTAAGGTGCACCTCCAAAATTTTATCATAACATGTAATTTGGTGTAAAAATACTTCGGATCATATGAAAGTTTACTTTCATATCTAATTATAAAAGTTCAAACTTCAAAAATGGTTAAAATCAAGTAGTGTTTTAAATGTATAAAAATCTTAAAAATGGACGGTCTAGATAATGTGTTGCATGATGCAATATTTCTGGGACTCCAAATATTTATTTTTTTCATATTCATACATCTCAATATCGAGATGATCAATTCGAAGGTTTTTCAACATTAAAACAACTTTTTCCGATGGATGTTTGAGGTGCATATGTAATTCTACATTTGAAGATTGCAACCATATATAAACGTATTCCTTATTAAAATACTATAAATTATTTTATAATTTACCTATATGTTATATAGTATTTTTTATTATGTATTATTTTATATTATTATTTAGATATAAAATGATATATAAAATAATTTTTTGGATCTGATTGGGTCTAAATCTAGATCCCATGTATACTTTTTGAATCTGAATCTGGACCTAAATAATCTGAATCCAAATGGATCTGGATCTCATGTATACTTTTCGAATCCAAATCCGAATCCCATGGATCCGGACACGAATCGACCCACTCTACGCTTTCAATAGGAACAGTTACTCAACTCCGTTTCCATAAGAACCTGAATACTATAAGGGCCCGTTTTGAATGCACTTGTTATCTAGCCAGTCTATACCCGGGCTCGTTTTATGAAACACTTTTATTTTATTCAAAGTAATTTGCTAAAGATTACATGGTTATATCAATAAATATTAAAAAATAGCTGAAAATCATAAAAAATTAAATAGTTAAATAACATTTTATATAATGAAGAGTACATATTAAAGTCCTAATAAAATAATATTATGAGAAATACATTAATTTTTTATAAGATAGTCTATTCCAGAGAGAGAGAGGATTTCTTTGAGAGACTAAGGCTTGAGAAGCTAACTAGAAGAAAAGGTGCCTACCCTCACAAAGCAATCGTGAAAATGCATCCTGAGCAACTTTGCAGGCAATGCAGAGTTATTGCCATTAGAGAGCTGCTCCCATATGAAATTTCTCACCGTCTCCTCTGCCTTTGGACAAGTTTTCTTATAGAAATTCTTCCTCAAACTCCCTCCACTGCACACAGCAACCTCAAAAACAATCAGGCAAGAAAACAATAACACTACTACGTTCCTCATCTTGCTTCCTCTTTGGTGCAATTGCCTCTCCCCTGTCTCCTTTATATAGCTTTATGCATAAAGAGAGATAAATGCAAGATTACATGGAGGTTCATTAAATATATACGTGACATACAGGGGGAGGGGGAGGGGGAGAGAGATGATTGGTTACTAATATCACGGTTGATTGAATCTGTTATTTTTTTATGTGAGTCAGTGGTTAGAGAGTCGCTATCTTTAATAGGAATTGAACCTAGGACGTAGCGTTGTAAATCGTCAATGAACCCAAGCTCTTTGAATATTTTCCTAATCGAATATGTATTTGTCGGCTTCGCATATGGTGCCCGCCCTTCCTTTTGTATATTATATCACCACTTTCTTAGCACAATGACAGTAGATTAAGATAATTTGACCATTGCTAATTCATAATTGTTTCCTTGCATAATAATATTATAATAAGAGAGAGTTTTGTAGTGAGGCAGGCTTTTCCTTCATATGAACAAGGAATCTTCGAGTCCACTTAGCACATGTCTTAATCATGTGAAGAAGTATCTTAGAATCTAGTATTTAATGTTTCTCAATATAAAGTATGGGAAAAAAAACATCATTTTGGCTTTGTAGAGAACTCATGCTCTTGAAAACATATTCTTTGATCTTTAATAGGGACGGGGTTTAGTGAGCCCCCGGATTCACTTAGTGCGGTGCATCTACCATTTCACTACGATAATGAATTTGTGCATCCACCATTTCACTACGATAATGAATTCTCGAAAACAAATGCAATTGAATTTCAAGCTTTAAAAATGGGCTTGTTCAGTTTAATTCTTCAATGATCATCAGATTTAACACTATTTTTGGGGCTCCAAATTCATGGATTTGAGATGGAAATGGATTTGCACTGATTTGAAATTTAGGTCCTCAAATCCAATAGCATAATTTACTGAGAGTCACCGTGGCTTAACCGTTATTGTACCAGATGGATGGTTGATATAATCCTAAATTAATTAGCAAGGCAATTTTAGTATCATTCAAATCAAAACTAATTTAGGATCAAAACTAGGCTATGGTGAAGAACAATTTCAAGGTTTAAAGCCACTCCCAAGACTTATTTTACTTGCCTTCCTACCTGCCTCAGGGCATACCATAGAATTGGAAAGTAAAAAAATTAAAATATAAAAAATAAGGAAGAAAAACAACCACATTTCCTATATACTATTTATGGTTTAAATTTGAATCATGAAAATTTATAGGAAACTTGGATTATTTGGTGAATTAGAGAGATCAAGGTCGATTATTGATGTAGATCACATACATAGGAATGTGAACTTTACATAGGTAAAGTATAGAACGAGACTATGTATATTTGATACAAGAAAGTCATAATCACTGGTGACTATTGGATACAGAATCAGGCAATCTAAAAAAAAAAAAATCTGTTTTATGACTCCCCCACAAATTATCAAATTTTGCATTCAACCGCCAATAATGGTTATGACCTCTTTCGACTTGTATTATTGACCAATTAGTATGCAATCTTTTTATATATACATATATACAATTTGCAAACAACTTCATGTATGTTACTTTGACTTGTGAACTATTAATTTCTTCATATTGACATAGGTATCGATTGATATATACATGGCTATAGTTCCTATGAAATTGTTTAATAAAGTAGGACCATGTGGCTAGGGACCTTAATAAGAAAAAGCAAACAGGATAAAATTGATAAATAGGGGAGGTTGTCAACGCGCTGAAAATGATATATAAAGTTGATCTTCTCTTTGTTTAATTTGTATTGAAATATGTTTTAGTTTTTTTCACCTTCAAATGGTATTGAAATATGTTATTTTAGTTTTTTTTCTAGTAATAAAGCTGGTAACATTTGTCAAAAAAAGAAGAAAGACGTTGTTTTAGTAGTAAAAATCTTTACGATGATCCGAAAATTTATTTCCATCTCTAATTATAAAATTTAAAGCTTCAAAAGTAGTGTAGATCAAACATATCTATTATCACTTGGAAAACTTGAAAATTGACGGTCTAGATAATATATTACAAGATGTACTGTTTTCAAAACTTGAAGCCCATTTTTTTTTATGTCCATGTATCTCAAGGTTGAGATCATTGGATTTGAATGTTTTCTAACATCGAAACAACTCCTTCTAGTGAATTTTTGAGACGCGCTTTATTTTGATTGTTTAGGACCTCAATCTTATAGAAATGGTTTCCTATATACTCTCTCAAATATTGCATGACAATTATTTTTGGAATACCTATTAAATATCATGAAAGATGTCAACATGTCGCAAAATTACTGAGGGTCAAAAGATATCAAATAACATTAAAAGATTTATATTTTTGTTTTCATTTAGCTGTAGTACCTCCTAAAAATCATATCCTCAAACATGTTGAAAACTGACCTTATTTAGGGTTGGAGAGAGATTGTTGGAGAGATTTAAGGAGGTAAGAGAGAGATTGTTGGAGAGATTTAAGGAGGTAAAACCTTTGGCTTTGAAACTTTTGAAAAGAGGGACAATAGCTGAACTGTCGTTTAGAAAAAAAAAAAGGGAAAGGGAGACGTGTCCTAAAAATAGGGCGGGTTGCCGTCTTGCTTAATAAATAATAGATATAT